AGAAATGCTGCATTTGTGTTTTTCTGTCACAGACGTCTTTTTCCCTTCTTCTCGTGTGTCGTTCTGACACATTATGACAATTAGTAAATGTTTCTCAGGGAAGTTTCTTCCATCGGTCCGTCTTTAGTTTCCTTCTTTATGCTGGCTTGTCAGATTCTGACTGATGCTGATACCCTCCCCCTCCACCCTCTTGTGATGTTAAAGGACTTCACTCATTAACAATCTGCAGTAAATCCATCATGTGAGGAAAATCCCTGTTTGCTCATGCGCTGTAGCTCCCAAACAAAAGGCCTTTAATATGATAGCTTGTCCAAGATGTTGCCAGTATCGCAAAATGCCAGTAAAGTAATATGTCTGCAACAGTGGATGAGAGGAAGTTTCTAAGATCTGTGACGTCTGGTTGGTAAAACTTGCCCTTTGTGATATGACAGGAAAACCTACACGTAACAGCAGCTACAAGCAGAAATGTGTCATCATAAAATGAGTAGAAACAACTCTGTGACCAGTGGGAAGCAGCTCACATCGATCATGAGCTTGTTTGTCTTTATGATGCTGCTTTGTCTTGTAACTAATATGCTGAAAGTGTTTGGAAGTGTCTGCGTATGCACATGCCTCAAGTAAACAAACTTTTCAATGTGGAAAAATTGCAAAATTTGAAATAAACATAGCTCTCCACCTTCAAAGCCTTCTTCCCTACAATGCCTCCACATTACTGGTTCAATAGGGTTTAAAATGGTAAGTAGCAGCCAGGTCCTGCTAATCAAAAGCACTTGATTAATTGCTTATCAACAAGTGTGAGCGCTTCTGTAAAAGAAGATGTTTTGACACATTTCTGGACTGAAGCATTCAGGTTTGCGTCAGCACAACGCTCCAATCTTCACTAGATCTTCATCCTGAGCTCAGACTGTGCAACGCTCAGAAACTGCAAAACCCCCAAACTTACATCTCAGACTCTACAGGCCTCAGTTAGCACGTTACATGTTAAAGTTCATGTTCAAGTATGGCTTATTTTTGAAATATGGCAAGGAGAAACACTCTCATCTTTAAAAAGAATCTGCCAACACAGTTTACTTCAAGTACCTCAAGTATCTCAAGTACTTCAAAAGTAGAGATGTTCGGTCAACATGCATTGCACCACATTTGGTGAAAACACAGCATATCAGCACAAACATCCTACGGTAATTTTCAACACAGTAGGAGAGAAGTAATGGTTTGGACTCGTTTTGCAGCCACAGGTCCTGAGCACCTTATAGTCACTGAGTTGACCATGTATATTAAAGTAATCAGTGACCTCAACAGAAGCAAGATTTTGACTATTTTGATGTTTCATTATGGATTTTATGGTCCAGTGGCAACAAAAACAGCTTGCTGACCTCCGATTTAAGAGAATCTCTTTGTTCACTTAGCATTTAGTTTGTTTTGAGCCTATTTTGATCTCTTTAAATGTAATAATTCTAAAGTTGAGTTTAAGTAGCCATAAAGTGTCACAAGTCAGTAAACACTCTTGCAGATATTTGTTTCTGAACTTCAGAAGTCAGTTTAGGACGTCGTGCAGTACTTAGCTGCCCGTTGGTGGTCAGATTTTTAGCTTTTTATCAGCCTTCAGCACTAGCAGCAGCAGCAGCAGCAGCCACAGAACTAACAGCTCCAGTATGTGGGACAGCAGGAGGTCTGTCCCACATAGCTGTTGACCCAAAACATGGAGAACGGCGCCAATTACAGCCGCAATATGCAAAGCACAGGTGGCGCACACGTGCAGCTGGAGTCTCAATTTGGAAGGATGATGGGCTAAAGTCTTTTTCTTTAGCCAAACAGCAACTTTCAAAAGTTGTGAGGTGATTTCTAGTTATATTTGGCTACTGTCAGGCTTTTTTTGTGTGTGTGGATTGCTGATTTTCCAAAAACCACAGCATCGAGTGTTTCTGTGGCTATTTCCAGCTGCAGTGTGCCTCACCTCAGCCGCCTCACAAACACATCCTTGCATTATAGCCTTAAGGTATAGAGTAGTTTAGAAGAAACACCAATTTGCTCTAGGTTTATTTACACCAGGGGTCTCATTTATTAAAGTTTCCTGATGCTCAAGTTTGGGCTCAAAGTTGTGCTTTGTAAAGTTTTCATGTCAGAATTAACTCCTTGGTGATTTTCTCTGACATATCAAAAGCAAAACTTTGGATAAAATCCTTTTTTATTTTTACTCAAGGTATGAATTTTATAGACATCATATATATGGTATTCACCATGTAGTATATACACTGTACTATAACATCTTTACAAATCACGCCCTGTGTGTGATGAAACATGGATGTTTAACTGGATGCTAAGGGGGAATACAGAGAGCTGAACTCAGATCGAGGTCAACAGTCACATCTTGTCAAGGGACCCAGAAATTTCTAGACAGGTGAAAAAAAAGTCTCTCCCCCCTTTTACAAGAAAGTGGTCAGAATTCACCTCCATTTACAATGTCATCTTTATTTCTGGAAGTGACACATGTCACATCAGGGATTCTGCCAGCGCAGACGAACAGGGAGCAGGTTGGTCGGTCACCTCACGGCACCGCGATGCACGCTGACTGATAAAACACAGGACAAATCAAAACAGGGCGCTCAGCTGGTGACACATCGTGATATGAGACAGAGGCTTTGTGCAAACCAACGGGAGCCCTCGGACTCGCTGATGTGTCGAAACGTACATAGATGAAGGTGATTTTTCTTATGCGAAAACAAAAGCGCCAGTTCACCCAAACGACAAAACAAACACACCACTTGAATGCAGAAGTGATTTCATGTGTGAGCACTGGGCACACATCTTTTTATCCTCTGCAAACTCCACAGGAATGTGTCCTTCCATCAGCAGTTAGTCGTCATTAGTTACTGTGGATAATCCCAGATTAAAACAACACCATACATTTTCTGTTTGTTGCTCCATTTGCACTGAATTCATTAATGGGGCCTCTGCATATATAATATATAGTTATACGACTTTTTTTTTACAAAACATTTGACTAATTTGAACAATAAAAACACATTTTAATTTAACTTAATTGTTAATGTAACATTTACTGATACTTAGTTAATCATATTCCACTAAAACGAACTTTTGAGTTACAGTAAATGCTTCCTCAGTAGGACACTTTACATTACTAGGACTCCTTCACTGACAGTTTGACTACCTGTCTTTAGGGAAAGGGCTGCAGGGCAGCTTTACCAAAATCCATTTATATACTGCTTATTCACAATCCATGGGAGGGTTCTTCTCAGTGAATCCAAAGCTGCTAAAGCGCCAATTGACATGCTCTGTGAGATCTGCCCATCTATAAGATATTTTTGGCTTCTAGTTCATCTTTAAGAAGTCAGTAAAAGCAGCAAATAGTTTTTTAACCATTAATAAATCCACTGTAGTACAGTTTGAGTACCTATATCTTTCTTTGAAACTGCTGTCGGCAACACAATGTTTAGCATATTGGGGAGAGAAATGTCTGATGACTGTGCACGAGCTTTTAAGCCTTTTCTGTTTGAGCTGACCTTTACCAGAAACTGCCTTCTAAAGTCTTTGTACCCTAACTGCTCGGCTGTAAACAACTGGCAAACATACCGACCAGCTGGTAAATGCAGTGAAGTATTTAGCTTATAAACACATTTCCCTTAAGTGCCACAATATCCCTAAATGACAATTATATGTAATTTAAATTAAAACGTCTTCCAAGGGCCAGACTATACTAGATATACTTTTAAATGTAATGCAGATATTTCACCCAGCACTCTTTTACTCTCACAGTAAACGTTTTTGAAAACATCTAGAAAAACAGAAAATGAAGACATGTTTGTAAAAGTAGAGTTATCGCAGAGCTGTTATACTGGATTGAAATGGATTTTGACAGGTATCCATAATGAACCGACCAGTAAGTATTCTCTTCTAAAAGCTGCAAAAATAAAACCAAAACCGAGCATCGCATTAGTTCTGGCAGACCACTAAGTCGAGCTCAGCTAGTAATCCTGGCTGCAGTGCCTCTGCAAGCCGCTTTGCAACACACCTCCACTGCAGCTCCTCCCCACCTTCTGGCTATTGAAACCTACACACCTAAAGGGCAGGGATGTGTGCTCTCCCTGCTTTAAGCTTTCCATGTAAGTGCACATAAATGGGCTGCACTATTTCCACTAAAGCGGTCTTCTATATATCCATGTGATATTTTTGAGAGTGAGAATATTTGTGATTTGAGTGAACTGGTTCTTTAAGATAGTACAACTGTTTCCCCACACCTGTTAAAACACAATTAAATGACATGAGCATCACTTGTGTCCTCGTAGAATTCGCCCAGTAGAACGTCCTTATCTGGAGTTTCTTAGGTCCATCATTTCCTCATCGCAGCTGATTTTCATTGTGTAAAAATCAGCATTGTTTAACAATGCAGGTGAATAAACTGTATTCTATGGCAGTACTGAAGGTTGTCCCTACACCCCACAATATATTTCTCGAGCGCCTCCTGTAGACATGTCCGCTCCACCACGCAGAACTGTGCTTTTACAGTGCAAATTCTTCACCGTCCCACGCTGAACGTAGATTCCCTGCAGGTAGCAGGCGAGTTACTGCTTCCATCCCACAAAGACGGATGCATCCAACCATCCATTCAACTGTGCACCGACTAAAGCCAACCGTATCCCTCTTTACCAGCAAAGCATGAATGGTCCCAAACTTGTCAATACACATCTGCATTTTCTGCAACAAAGTCCACTTACTTTTGAAAAAATATAAACTTGTCTCAACCTCTTTCCACTTCACATGATTGTGCCTTTTTTAAAGTTCTATAAAAGGAACAGATCCAAGATATTTTGTAGGCCTTCACACTTAAAGCTTAATGAATGACTATATGAAGAGTCCCCTTCCAAAGTGAGGTATCCACCATTTGAAAAAACATGTACAAAGTACATTAAAGTAGGTCCTTGTTTGATGACATAATACACTTCTATCTTCTTTGAATGTTAAATTTTAAACTTAAATTTCGTATTTTAGATATATTTATATATATTTATATATTCTTTGTTTTGGAAATGAACTCTTCATACCTGAAACATGGAGCACGACAACGATCAAAGAATTTTCACTGCGATTTGACTCGATGTGCTTCCATCTAACATCCCAGGTAGCAAAACAACAGTTTGAAATTTAAAATGTGCGTTTCGAAGAAATAAAGAGCGAAGCTGAGCACACACACACACGCGCACACACACACACACACACACACACACACACACTCCAGCTTAAATTTCGTGTAACACGTCATCACAGTTCATCTGCGAGAAAAGTCTTAACATTGAGTATTTTTCTTTTACACCAAGGAATGTTCAAGAACAAAAGAAAAGAAAAGAAATTGTGCTGTTTCATATGTATATATTTAAGAGTTTTCCTGCACTGGGTCATCAGTGTCTTTTGCTGTACACCTTCTGATCTCGCTCGTTTTCACCGTTTGGATGTTATTTTCAGATGAAGTGAAGTCTGCTTGTATGTATGTGTGTGTGTGTGTTGTGTGGAAAAGTTTATGTTTGGGCAGGTGTGAAGCAGGAAATGAGTTGTGTACTTCCTCTTGAGCCCCTCCCCCCTCCCATGGCACTGTAGTGGTACACACTCAGGTGGTCTTTGCAAGTGTGTGGGCTGCACAACACATCTGCTCTCAGTCATGATTCACAAATAGAGATTAAGTGATTTTTGTGACAGAAAGGGAGAGGGGAGTAGGGTAAGACGAGGCTGACCCTTTCCCTCACCGTCACGTGACACATAGAAAATGGCTGTTTTTAGGTTGTGTTTTTTTCATCTGGTGCCCCAACCCCTCCCCCTTGGATCTTGACATTTGTCTTTGGAGGCCGGGCAAACCGAGGCCTCTTACAGACTGGAGAGCAGGAGGAACAGCAAGCCCAAGCTGAGCAGCGGCATGGAGAGGCAGACGGGCTCAGCTCCGTGGTCCAAAAGGCCCGGAGAGGGAAGAGTGGAGTCTCCGTCATCGTCCCACAATCTGTCGTTCTCATTTACCTGAAAGAAAACATGTAAACCTGTGTCTGAAACATCCATTTATGTTTAACAGGAATACAACAAAATCTGTTGAAACATATCTTCAGCGATTTTATGACCAACTATGTGGTTATAATGGCCGAATTTTCCGCATCCACAGTTGAAAAATAAGATAAGCAAAGCCAAGGACATAGCCACTTATCAACATGATGCAATTTCACAGCAAGAGAAGCTTTTTTTTGGCTGCAGATGTATTCAGAGTAAACTCTTCAATCATCATCATCATTTTTTCCCCTTCATTCTCTTGATATTCTCCTTGAGCTTGTGTGGGTTCCCTCCGGCTTCCTCCCACAGTCCACAGACATGCATGTTAGGCTGATTGGTGATTCTAAATTGGCTGTGGGTGGAAATGTGAGCGTGTGTCTGTCTCTCTGCGTTAGCCCTGTGATATACTCGGCACCCGATCCACGAATATCCAGCCTTATGTCAGCACACATTAAATCCAAGCCCCACCGTGACCCTCAAACAAATAACTCATCTTGGGGTAAAATACTATTACATTTAAATTAAACAAGTTTTAACCTTTCAACATCCATCAGGTCATTAGTGAGCTTATAACAGATAAACTGTGTCACCAATATGTATGAAACTATGTATTAAAAAGAAATTGGATAATGAAATCACAACTTCCTGCTTGAAAATGAGCATTTTGAATTTAATCAAACAAACAAACAGGATGAAAATGCGTCAATCAAAATATTTAATTAGAAATGGGTGTTTCCCCCCCACTCCTACCTCTCGTACCTCATTTGTGAGGTACTAAAGACTGGAGCTGTATTGCTTGACAGTTTAAAAACAATGTGACAGGATATTGTTTGGTCATATCTGCTGTTATGACTCTGAGGCAGCTGCCCAGAATTAATTTACAGATTCAATTAACTCTGACTGGTGTCAAGTCAGTCGTATGTTATCCAAACCTCATTTGACATTCGACTATCGGGTGACAAAACGTTTATGTTCAACAGAGTCTCTTTACCGTACTGTTAGCTCTGCTGTGGTGAAAGGATGATACAGACTGTTGAAACAATTGCATGTGGGGCACACCGTTCAGAGGACTCGGGGCAAAAAGATATCATTTGGTTTTTGGCCATTTTTCTGCAGCTTTTCCCCTGGAACTAAGTAAGTGGCCTACTTAGCTTGTCAAGTTTATTTATATCTGTTGCCAGACTGTCAATTATGTTATCAGCATTATTTTTTTGGGTTCCCATTTGGAGCATAATGCATGGAACAAATTTCTTTTCCCTGATGTAAATCACATAATTTATAAATTTCTCCTCATTATTAAAATCTGCAATACTGTGTGCATGTTTAATGCAAAACAGGCTGTTCACATTAAAATTTATGTCCAACAGAATTCAGTAGTTGTTTGCTTTATGACTGCATTGTATGGGCTTTGTTAATGGGGTTTACAGAACCTGGTAATGGTGTGAATGAAGAAGCAGTTTCTGTATGTTCAAGCTGATGGTGTACACACAGCACGAAAAGAAAACCATCCTGGACACTCCAAAGCCAGCGACAACTCAAACCTCACAGTTATGTGATCCTTGGATGGTCGGATTTCTAGAGCTGGAAAGTCATTCTGCTGATTTTGCTGTGTTTGTGTGCTGTACAGTTGGTATGTAAAAACAACAATGGGTATCTACAGACTTTTTTAAACTCATAAGTCTTTAAAAAACATACAGTGATTCAGTCATGATATCCTTCAACTTTAAGTTTCACATATTAGGACATAATAAAAATCAGCTGGTCCTTAGCATGTTCTGAAATTGTCTGAATACAATCTAAGAAAAACAGCACAGGACATATGACACTGTTACTGTTTATTCAACAAAAACTAAACCCCCAAAATCTGCTTGAATAAGTCAAATAACAGTCAAACTGTCAGTGAAGGAGTCCTAGTAATGTAAAGTGTCCTACTGACGAAGCATTTACTGTAACTCAAAAGTTCCTGTTTTAGTGGAATATGATTAACTAAGTATCAGTAAATGTTACATTAACAATTAAGTTAAATTAAAATGTGTTTTTATTGTTCAAATTAGTCAAATGTTTTGTAAAAAAAAAGTCGTATAACTATATATTATATATGCAGAGGCCCCATTAATGATTGCAGAGGGATTTTGGCCTAATCTTCGTTGCTACTTCCCACAATAGCACACCAAACAGGGTGAAGTCTTTGACATTGCAACATCTTTTTCTTTCTCAGCTATTCTTTTGCAGATTTGCTGCTATGCTCGGTGTCATTGTCTTGTTGCATGACCAAATTTGGACCAATGTTTAGCTATAAATTTAACTAACCTTAGCATTCAGAGCAGTTCAGGTCTTACTATACGGCTGCAAAATAAACCCAAATCACACCCACTCCACCACCGTGCTTTACTGATGGCACGAGGTGTTTTTCCTGTATATACATCTCCTCTGTGGTTTCTTCAGATGCAACTTTGCAAACCTAACCTGTGCTGTGTTCATAATTTGTACTTGTTCAGTCTTTTTCTAGTTTTACTGTCACAAACTTCCACATTCAGCAGATGGCCCCGCCCCTCCCTGAGCCTGGTTCTGCCAGAGGTTTCTTCCTGTTAAAAGGGAGTTTTTCCTTCCCACTGTCGCCAAAGTGCTTGCTCATAGGGGGTCATATGATTGTTGGTTTTTTCTCTGTATCTATGAAGCGCCTTGAGGCGACTTTTGTTGTGATTTCGCGCTATATAAATAAAATTGAATTGAATTGAAAATTTAATTGGAAACATCTGACATGCTAACTGAGGGCTGTAGAGCACGAGATGAGTAGAGAATGAACAATGCTTCTCCAAGACCAATGCTGTCACTCAAATGGTTAGGGGGTGAGGGGGGAAAGAGAAAATAAAGAAAGCGTAGCAAGATAGGAAAAACAGATTAGGGAGCGGGAATAGAAAAATTCAATGACACGCTGCGTTTCTGTGGAAACACTTGGAGAGTAAAAAGTGGTGAGTGGAATTAATCAAGTGCATTTGATTAGCAGCACTGGCTGCTACTTACTCCCTTTAACTCCTATGGAAACAGTAAAGGTGTACTTAGATTTCCACGCACTGCTTTTGTATTTTTCCCTCAGTTTTTGTTAAATAATCAAGGACATTTTGTAATACTTCATGTGTTATTGTGTTTACTAAATGATGATTTTACCAGTTGATTTTTTTAGTCTTATTAACTTTACTTTCCTTTTTTTTCACCATGGCTGACCTGTTTGTCAGGATTAATGCTTATAAATGTTTTTATCTATGTGAAAGTGAAAAATGTATCAACAAAGAATTAACAATTAACCAAATGTTTGCTTTAATCTGACATGTTCTTGCACTTTCTGAGTTTCATTTTGTTTGGGTGGCAAATTATTATTATTTTTTACTAATTCCTGAACAACATTACATTTCAAAAAATGTCTTTTTGACATATTTTAAGAACATAATTATTTACGTATAGATACTTTGATTCACATTACTTTTTGCTCACTGTGTCATCCGTAGGTTTGGTATTTTGTGCTCCAGTTTCATTTGTTTACCTTTGTTTAAATCAATTTATATCACTTACTCTCCATGTGTTCTTTTGTTTTGCTTTTTGCTTGGCTATGTGCTCAATCGATCTAATGACAACACTGCAATCAATAAAGTTAAAGCAAATGTTAAAGATGCTTTAGTTCACTCGTACCCCCTGGTTAGTCTCCGCTGAGCTGGAGAGCCCGGTCAGTGTATTGACTTAATGAGTCAATAATAGCTTGTCACAGGATATAAAGCACATATAATATAGAAACCACAGCATGAGCATGCTTTATCTTTTATTGGGCTCATATTTCCTGCAAAACTTCATATTTAGACATTAAAAATATCTTTACTCAGTGCCAAATACTATTGGGGAGATTGTGGCTCAAGAGTTGCGAGTTCGCCTTGTAATCGGAAGGACAGTCTCGGTCATTGTGTCCTTGGGCAAGACACTTCACCTACCGCCTACTGGTGATGGACAGAAGGGCCGATGGCGCGATATGGCAGCCTCTCTTCTGTCAGTCTGCCCCAGGGCAGCTGTGGCTACAACTGTAGCTGCCTCCACCAGTGTGTGAATACAGACCATTTACCATTTAGCAGCCAAATTTCAGGCATATAGGGGAAAGGGGCAGTTTTTCCAGAGATTCTGGTATTTACTAAGTAAAAGCAAGCACACAAGTGAGTTTAAAAGGCAAAGAAAAGCTTCTTGATTTTTGTTCTTGATGCTTCTTGACCCACTGAGGACACCTAGAATTTAGATGCTCAAATAAAGAAGTGAATTTTCTGTACGAGATGCCATATAAACTCTCTTCTCAACTTCTCTGTGACCCGGTGCTGTGTAAATTATCCAGACTGTGTAAATCTCATCTCATGTCATGGTCCTGGGTCGAGCGACCCAGTGTTTGAGTTTTATGTATCTTTTGTATTTATTTGTGCCTTAGCTTAGTTCACCTAGTTAATTTCTAGATTGCTGTTTAGTCTTGTTGTCTCCCCCTGTACTAAGTCTCCCTGGTTCATGCGTCATGTCTGCGTGGTTACGTTTAGTTCATGTCATGTCTAATCTCCATGTTTCCTGTTTTACTTTGAAAGTCTGTATTCAATGTCAGTGTATTTAGTTTCACCTCTCCTGTCGTTAGGTTCATGTGTGTCAGCTGTGCTCCCATGTGTGGCCACTTCCCCTGATCATCCCTCATGTGTATTTAGTCTCTGTGTTTCATGTAGTCTGTGTCGTGTCGTCTGTGTTCCTACCCCCCATGTCCTCCCGGTCAGTCTGTACATCATCGTCATGGTTTTCTGAGTCTCCTTAGTTTATCAGTATCTGTTTCCCAGTTTAGTTTAGGTTCAGTTTAGTCACGGTGTTTCTGCTTTGTGTTGAGACCTGTCATCAGCCACAATAAAGGCTCGCTTTCAGTTTAAGTTTACTCCGGTCTACTCTCTTGTGTTCGCACCTGGGTCCACCCCCCGCACGGTCTGTCCCCTCAGATCGTGACATCTCATCCATCTGTCGCTCCCACTAAGTTAAAACAAACAATTAAAGATATCTGTGGCTTTATGACCCGACTCTTGGAGAGGCCGTCTCCATTAGCGCGTGTGTTTGGAGAAGGCCGTACATCATATTTTCAGTCTTCCCTCTCGTCTCACCTGAGTAGGTATCTGTGCCCGCAGAATGTTCTGCTCTGTTTCCATAGCGATGCCCGGGGCAGTGGTTGCCAAGTGTGGGCTATGGTTGTCCGTTGCTGGACTGGACACTCCAGGCTGACTGGCCCCCGTTTTCACATCCGATCCGTTTCCAAAGGCCTGAATGGCATTTTCTGGAACAAAAGAGCAGCCCAGATACACTGACACGACTGGAAGCTTAATAGAAACATTCATGCTGAAAAATCAGGAGACTTTGATCATTTTTACATGAGTCATCACCTCAAGTGTTCTTTTGCTTTTTTCTCCTGCATAACTCTTTTGATTGTGATTGGCCACTTTACAGCTACGTACAAGAGGCCCAAAATTGCAAGGTGGTCAACTTTGCATTGTGACTCATCAGGCTTGTTGAGCTGAAGCATTAATTTCACCCTGGATTTGGCAGTTCAACACACAAAAAAGAAAGAAGAAGCAGCTACCACACACACAGGAAGGAAAACCTTAGTAGTTTAGAAAGAAACGTGTAAAATGTCCCTAAATAAGCAGTGAATGCTTCAGCCACGGTTCAGTTTTCAAATTTACACATCTTGGTTCTGTGCTGGGTCACCGGTGTAAGGAGCTACCTGTGTTATTCACACCTGGGGACTCAGTTTCAGTATGTTATTCCTCAGGCGATAAAAAAAGCAAACTTGTGCTCTGTCTGCTCTTAAACAAGACAGAAAGAAAGAGCGTGTGAGCCAAAACTCACTTTTTTATGTAAGAGACGTAAACAAACTATGGAAAAATGCCTGAGGTACAGATGGAGGCTTTGGTTTTAATTACGTCAATCTGTGAGGCAAGGGCTCCAGCAAGTCAGATGTAATGCAGGAACATATAACAGCAAAATGAGAACTATAATTACATTATAAAATAATAATTAATTAATTCCCTGCAAGCATGCCTGGTTGCTAAGTCTCTTAGCTACCACTTTGCTATTCTAGTGTACTGGTTTTCCTGCTGGTTTTCTCCAAAATAAAGATGTATCCATAAATCTCACAATATTCACTGTTTATTATAAGGAAATCATTGCAAAATAAATAAATAATGTGTTGCTTCTGGTTGCAGTGCAGGTTTGCAAGGCCAAAAAGTATCCACACTACACAATTATCACCTTGGTAAAGTTGTTCGTGTGAGACAGCTGACTAAAAAAGAAGGGACTGGTAGTTAGGAAGTTATGGTGCGTGTAAGTGAAACTGACAGTTAGGAACAAATTATGGTGCATGTGGAGAGAACGGTGGTTAAGTATGAGGCAAAAAAAACCGTGTCTGTGAGAAGGAGTCGTATTATGTAGAAAATAGCGGGAGAAGCTGAATGTAAGGCAGATCTTGAGCAGCAGTGCATAATAAGAGTTGTGCATGTGTCTTCTAATAAGTGTAATTATCACCTTTGTTGTTCTGGGACTGGATATATAAATGATGTAAGTGCACCAAAAAGACACGTGCATGTTCTTTCTACCACACAAAGTATTTATGATAGAAACAGTGTGCAGACTACACACACAAGTCAGATCGCGCACACGCTTTTTCGAGAGAGTCAGGTCTGAAAGTCTGGAACTAGAAATTTAAAACAGAATTTAACATGAAAATTAAACAAACAAGTATTCAGGGCTT